GCTTGGAGGGCGCTAAACTTGTTCTTCAAGGGTAAGTCTTGAGGAGGAGCAAGAGCCTTCCTCCTTCTGCGAGAGGTCACCAGCTTCCAGCCCTCTTCAACAGCGTTATGATGCACCTTTACACATGGTGCTGAGCCCTCTGACAACTCCGCTGCAGTTGGGGGTGGGGACTCCTGGAGCTGAACAGTCTCCGAGAACGCCCTGTCAATCTCCCGCTCATCCTCTCGGATGCTACGCAGCCTACTGACTTCCTCCCGTAACTCCTTTATCTGGTGATGCAACTGGTCAACCACAGCACACCTCATGCAGGAGAGTTGATTGTCGGCCCAGGCCTCACGGAGAGGCCCCAGGCACTCCCTGCAGCCTGACACCTGTAGAGCTGCATCTGCTGTCAGAGGGTCTGTCTGGACTGAAGCTTCAGACACAGCCGATGCAGCACCTCCAACAGCCACTGGGGAACGTGCTCTGCGGCGTGTCATGACCATGCCTGAGGAAGGACACACCACTGTGGAAAATGGAGAGGTGCCTTCTTTGCCTTCTGGCGCCCTTCTGTGTGAACTGCTGTGCAAACTGCTGCGTCTGTTCACTGCCTCTGTTGGCTGCGCTCAATTACAGTTAATTTTATTCTGAGACTTACCCTTTTTAAAAAAAACAGATATATCTTCTGCTTTAAATGATTAAGGGAAGTACTTCTAGGTAAGAATGTTTGTGCTAAGTGCTAAATTGAATTTTCAATGTAGTTTTAAAGACCATGACTGAAGGTGGGATTTACATACATGATCAGAGGATTTAGAAGCATAAAAGCCAGTGAAATGTGTATTAAAGTATTCAACATGAACAGACTGTTAATTCTAGCTCATATAAAAATATGAGCTGCACTGTTCTCATATAAAAATATGAGCTGCACTGTTCTCTAATCGAGGCTGCTCTTTCGGACTGATAACAAGAAATATTCTAAACATAAGCCCTGAAATATAGACTTTGTGTGGGCACTGAAGAAGGGAGGGGAATGAGATGCCCATTAAGATAATTTGAAGAGCATACAGCAAATGCCACTGGAGAAAATCA